CGCCGGCGGGGCGCTCCGGCTTTTCGGGATGTGCTCGCACACATTGGCGGAGCCGCAGTGGATAATCTCCGGTGGCGGGAGCGCCTTCCTCTCCTACCGGGGGTGGAAATGCTGCCTCTTCCTCCCTCCCTCCCTCTCTCCCTCCCACCGGAGCCCGCAGGCGCATCTGGGGGCCAATCTGGCTGGGATTGGGGTTTTTATTTTTCTGTGGGTCTGACATCCGTGAAGGGGCTTGACTCTCCGAAAAGAAAGGTTCCATTTTTACGGATTTATTATTTTAACGAGGCGTTTCTCGATCTGAATTCCCCCTTTCTGAATCAACAGGCGTCCTAGCGGGAGCACGGTGAGGTGGTCAGTTGCCACCCCAGCCCTTTATACCTGGGCACAGCCTTGGCGGTGGCAGATCGGTCAGGGGTTCTGCCCCCTGCCGGCCCCCTTCCTGACAGGGATTGGAGTGGGTCAAATGTCATCCCTGTCGTAATTCCACGGACTCCAGTGGAGTTTCACCCGGGGTGAATTAACTTCGCAGGGCTTCGAGGATTCGGCTCCTCAGTGCTGTGTCAAAACTAAACTTCTTCAGGAAGCAATACTGTCCACAAAGGCATGATAGATTTCTTATGCCGCTTCTCGTGTGACCATTCACAGTAGAACCGACTTAATGAAGTAGGATTTATGTAGATTATCTTTACATAATGGGTTGGATGCAAATGAAAAGTTAAAAGAAAGTGTAAACCCAAGCAGCCCAGGAAAAATCAACAGAAGTTATCTGGTACTTACTGAAGTATACTCAGCAACATTAGGCAGACTAACTTGTTTTTGGTAACTCTTAAAAATTAAAAAGCTATGTTAAAAATCTTTTCCTCCAGTCTTCTGTATAAAGGACATTGCAGAAACATAAAACTACAGGCTTCTCGCCTTTGTAGAAACATTCTGAAAAGAACTTAGTTCTTGAACTTTTCTGAAATACAGTATGCCATTTGCTCAGAAACTACAGGGAGCTGTGTTTAGGGCTTGATCTGTTATTGAAGTCAGTAAGAGTTTTTCCATTGACTACAGAGGGAGTAGAATTTGACCTAATTTCCCTAACGGAGTACAAGGGAGATATTTCCGAATCGTCTTTTATGCGTTCTAATCTTATTTAAAGTAGTTAATACATAAACTAGGACATAATGATTCATATTTGAAAGTAGGAGAGGGAAAATGCTGAGGAATAAAATAAAATAGCATACTACAGCAGGTAAACAATATGACTAAATGAAAATGCTGGGTAAAATATGAATCATTGCTCTCATAAACTCTGTTAAATTAAATCCTATATTCTTCAGTTGTCTTTTCATAAGCTACCCCTATGTAAAGAAAATTTCATGGTGTATTCATATAAAGTGTTAATCATATAGCAGGGACTTCTTTTTAAGACAACAGAATCCATTCCATGTAGAGAAACCTCAAAAGATTCCTAAAATTCTTGACTTTTTTCAAGTTTCTTTATTTAACACAAAAAAGAAAGAGAAGTAGGAGGTGTCTTTCATAGTACCAAGAAAGGGGGTGTGAAGATCTGATTGGGCTCTTGAGTTATTTCTTCTTTAGGCAGAAAAAGTTACAGAAGTGAGAAGCAACTGAATGGGAAAACTAGTGACTTGTGTTTGTTCAGCTCAGTGCCCACCGGCTCTTAAGCAGCTCTTTTTAGAAAATATTTTTGCTTTATGACTTGGCTAAAGTAAACAAAATTCAGTATTTTAAAAGACATCCTTTGATTTCCTTTCTCCTTCCTCACCTTTAATACTAAATCTGTTGGTAATGTGTTTGGAATGAATAAACTCATTTAGTCGAAATGGCATGGCTTCAGCACTATAAATTTTTTGCAAGGGCCTGGCATCAATGCACTATTGTGATGCTGATTTAAATTTCATGGGCAAGAAATGAAAAATCAGTCTTTTTTATTATTTATAAGCTTTTTCAAGCAAATGGAAATCCACCTCTTAATCTGAGTGCAAAAAGATTTAAGAATCCTTACTGAAAATGAGGCTATGAAGCTATATATAGAAAATACACTTTGGACCCTCTGTGTAAGTGACAAGCAGATTTGTTTCTAATACAGAATAGATACTTTTTACAGTCATCTTAGGAAATACAAAGGTTCCTTGTGCTTCCCCCACCCAGGCTGGGAAACTAGTGGGAGTTCTAGGTGCAGAAGGAATGCAGGACTGGGCCCACTAGTGATGGCAAAAGGAGAGTGTTCTTTGTGGATGCTCACTTCACACTGTTATTTGTAATTGCTTAGTAAGTTACACTGGGAAGATACGGATCTGTTTCTTGAATGAAAACTGTTTAATGTATCTGGCTGGTCTAAACCTGTACAAAAAGGTGTTTTAAACTAGAAAAGTGTGAATCTCTTCTCAGAACTGTTAGTGATGTAAAGCACTCTTGATTTTAACTCATCAATTCACTTTTAAGGTTGAAAAAGAATATAAACATTTTCATCGTTCCTTTATTTTACAGTGAAATAGTCTTGTGTGTTAATTTTAGTTTAACAAAATGCTATTAACCTTCAGAAACAGAGGACGTACAGGGGTTTCTCAGATAAATATTCACAAAGTGAGCAAGAGTGATTAAATCAAAGGGCGATTTCACTAGATTCAGCTAGTCGTCCTAGCTGAAGTTTTTCTGAGTCCCAGGGATCTGCAGGTGAAATGGTCCAGTCTTCCCAGTATAGTGCAAGAGAGACCTGCAAGTATATGTCTATTTTGCTGTATAATTTAGATTTCTTTAATCGTTTCTAAGGTAAAATAATTACTTCAACTTCAGCAGCAGACACCTGACACAGAAAAATGACTGGTATGTGTTGCACATTCTCTAGAGCGTGAATCTTTGCATTTAATTTAGAAGGAGATTTCACAAGGATCCAAGAAAGGACTATTCAGGCTGCAGGAAACTGTGTCTTTTCACTAGCTCTGCAGAAAAGAAGTTTCTCAACTTCAGTTTTGTGTATATCTTAACAAATGTAACTGTTTATAAGTACATATAGAATACCCACAAATATTCAGTGGTTTTGGGTTGAAATAATCTCTTGTGCCTAGCACCTATTATTGGAAGGTCACTAGAAAAAAAAAATCTTTGATATAAAACCTTTCCTGGTGCTATGGTATTTTCTGATTACTAAAAAAAAAAAGAAAAATATTGTTGGTAAAATTGGTGTCTGTAGCAGTTGTAAAATGTAGGAAAGGAGTTGTCATACTCAGTTTTACAATTGCCTTGCCCAAAGGTATTTGGTCTCCTCCAAATAGGGCCCTTAATTCTAACAAGGTTGCAAGCATAATAAAAGAGCCATGACATTACTGCTGAAGTGAAGTTATACCTAAAACACACTGGAGCAATTATGTCTCTCCCGGATTTGTTTTGTACAGTGGTGAACAGTAGGGTTTCCATCTGCCAGCAAGATTAAGAAGTTGCTTTTCTTTTCTCTGTAGAGCTCTCTGCTTCTTTTCAGAAGAAATCCTCCCAGCATTGGTTAATTTATCGTTGTTCTGAGTATTTGTTGATAATAGGGGGGAATAAATTGAGCAGAGCTTGGGAGAAATCTCTAATGTTCTAAGAATGTGAAGTCTCATGCAGTGATAAAGATTTGCCCTCTGGATGGACACAATAGAAAGCAGTGGCTTAAAAGGAATTAGGTGAACACACATGCCTGTTGCAAGGGCTTATAACTGTACTACTCAGTATTAAATACCAAGTTTACAGACTGTAAATGTAAGGATTAATTGTTGACCCTGTTATTACAATAGTAGTAGAATCTGGCAGAACTTAAATTCTTTTTAGCACATTATCACACATAAGGGGTTGTAAAAACCTTTGTAAATTCTAGGTCTGGGACTTCACTGTATGTCAAAGTGTTAATGCATACAGTATGTGAAAGAGAAGTTATTTGGCAGAGCTGATATTATGGAAGCAAAGTGTTTGCTGCAAAGCAAATTGAAACAT